CCTGTACAATATATCTTCTCTCATTTATTTCTCTCTGCCTTTTAACCAATTTCATGGTACACTTCCTCCAAACATAGGCCTAACCCTTCCAAATCTCAAATATCTTGCCATTCACGGCAATCAATTCAGTGGACCAATTCCAGCATCACTCTTGAATGTCTCCGAAATTACTGATATTCATCTTTCATCCAATGGCTTCACCGGCAAAGTGCCCACTTTAGCAGGCATGCCTAATCTAAGGTGGCTTTCAATCCAAGAGAATGATCTTGGAAACGATGAGGATGATGATTTATCCTTTCTATACACCCTCTCAAACAGCACCAATCTGGAGGTTTTGGCCATAAATGATAACAATTTAGGAGGGTTGCTGCCTGAGATAATTAGCAACTTCTCAACAAAACTCCAGCAGATGACATTTGGAAGCAATGGAATACGAGGAAGCATTCCTGATGGCATTGGAAATCTCATAAGCTTGGTTACTTTGGGTTTAGAGTCAAATCAATTGACTGGCAGGATACCAAATTCCATTGGTAAATTAGAAAATCTAGGGGAGTTGTATCTTAATGGAAACAAATTATCAGGGAGCATCCCTTCTTCTATAGGGAACATCGCCTCATTGATTCAAATTGTTTTTGATCAAAATAATTTACAGGGAAGCATCCCGCCGAGTCTTGGAAACTGCCGGAACTTGTTGATTTTGTCTCTCGCCCAAAACAATCTGAGTGGTCCCATACCAAAAGAGGTCCTTGGCATTTCCTCCTTGTCGATGTATTTGGTCCTCTCTGGAAATCAGCTAACTGGTTCCCTTCCCTTTGAAGTGGGTAAGTTAGTGAATCTGGGATACATGGACATCTCCAAAAACAGGCTATCAGGGGAAATTCCTGCGAGTCTTGACAGTTGCGAGAGTTTGGAACATTTGTATTTGGAAGGGAACTTCTTCCAAGGACCCATTTCTGAGTCTTTGAGTTCCTTGAGAGCACTTCAAGATCTTAATCTCTCTCACAACAACTTGACTGGCCAAATTCCCAAGTTTTTGGGAGACTTCATGCTGTTGAAGAGTTTGGATCTGTCATTTAATAACCTTGAAGGTGAGGTGCCTATGCATGGCGTCTTTCAGAATGCAAGTGCAGTTTCAGTTTCAGGGAACAATAATCTTTGTGGAGGGTGAGGTGCCTATGCATGGCGTCTTTCAGAATGCAAGTGCAGTTTCAGTTTCAGGGAACAATAATCTTTGTGGAGGAATACTTCAGTTGAATCTGCCCGCATGCAGATCCAAGTCAACCAAGCAAAGATCTTCTACCAGGCTGATATTAACAGTCACAATTCCTTGTGGCTTTGTTGGATTAATCTTGATGACCTCTTTTTTGTTTTTGTGTTGCTTGAGAACAACAAAAAATAAGCCCACTTCAGAGTTGTCATGGGAGATGCCATTCCGAAGGGTAGCCTACAAAGACCTCCTCCAAGCAACTAATGGATTCTCTTCTGCGAATTTAATTGGTACCGGCAGTTTTGGATCGGTGTATAAAGGAATTCTCGCAGTGGATGGAGTGATTGTTGCTGTGAAAGTATTCAACTTACTACGTAAAGGAGCTTCCAAAAGCTTCGTAACAGAATGTGCAGCTTTGTTAAACATCAGGCACAGAAATCTTGTCAAAGTTTTATGTGCATATGCCGGCACCGATTTTCAAGGTAATGATTTCAAAGCTCTTGTTTATGAGTTCATGGTCAATGGAAGTCTGGACGAGTGGTTGCATCCAATCCATACATTAGATCAGGAAGTGCACGAGCCAAGAATTATTAATCTCCTCCAGAGGTTAAACATTGCAATTGATGTAGCTAATGGACTCGAATATTTGCACAACGATTGCGAAATGCCTATTGCTCATTGTGATCTTAAGCCTAGTAATGTTCTTCTCGACGAAGATATGACTGCTCATGTTGGGGATTTTGGATTATTAAAGTTCCTTTCTGAACCCTCCTCTCAGTTACCTTCAAGTAAGTCAGGTTCCGTTGGATTAAAAGGCACCGTCGGCTACGCAGCCCCAGGTAACATACATCACTAAAGGATTATACATTCCATTACTTACAAGTTTTAATCAAACATCATTGATTAATTAACCATGCAAACAAACTGACTGCAGAGTATGGCATGGGAAGGAAGGTTTCAACTTATGGGGATGTGTACAGCTATGGCATCCTACTGCTGGAGATGATTACAGGAAAAGACCTACAGATAGCATGTTTAAAGATGGAATAGAACTTCACAATTATGTTAAAATGGCATTGCCTGACCGTTTGGAGGAAGTCACGGATCCAATAATACTGCGAGAAGTCGATGAGGGAATAGGCACTGATCAAATCCTGAAGTGTTTGATTTCAATTAGTGAGGTAGGAATTTTTTGTTCAGAAAAGTTTCCGAGAGAGAGAACGGACATTCGCAACGTTGTATCTGAATTGAATCGAATTAAGGCCAATTTCCTCGGAAGGCATGGACCGCTAGTGTGAAATCTTTTATCTCAAGACAAGGTTCCAGCTAGCCCACTAGGGTACAGAAGACTTCAATGTGAATATGAGACATGAGGGAAGGAGTCCAGATATTGGAACTTGCTTATTGGCATCAGTATTAGTCCCTACCTACCTACTTGTTTAAGTGCCTGTTTTGCTCAAGCAAGCAACCTGTAATGTAATTAAATGTTTTGCAATAAACACTCGTTTTAATGGCCGTGCAAATATATCTATTTTCAACAATATCTGCTAGCTATGTTTTCTTGCACTAGAACAAATCACAGGTTGGGATATTCAACTAAATGGACTGATCTAGTGGAGGTGTGTAGTTAAAGTTTCTTTTTCTGACTAAAGTGATAGCTCGCTGATAAAGTTTTGATTTATAGGTCGGGTTTAGAGTTCGATGCTAGTGATCAACACTCTTGAAAATTTATTCTTAAAATATTTAAAATCGTGCATTGGGGAATGCTTTTTAACCACGTCCAAAGAGAAATTAATCTTAAGATGTGCAAAAATTGATCCGAAAATATCCTTATTGTTGATTAAAAAAATTTTTCTTTTTCTTTTTTCTTTTTGAGAAGGAGGTATCCACTTGGTAATTGTCAAAGGACTAACAAATTCAACTATTCCTTGAGTATATGTTAGGAAAATAAAAATTTTACTTGAGAATTTGCGATGAGACAACGACTTGGTCATTGACTTGGAGGTAGGAAATTATAATATATATATATATATATATATATATATATATATATATATATATATATATATATATATATATTGGGAGGATAGGGCTAATTTTGTTATCATGGAATTTATAATTAATTTATGAGAGTTGACTTTGACTTTGAAAATAGACGGTGATAATTATCCTTATGAATATGTGGAAATATATGATAATTTCATCCTTTCCCATAGTCTATGAAATTAAAATGGTTGCTAGAAGATTTGCAAAGTCAAAAATGAAAACAAAAATGAAAGAAAAGCTAGAAGAAGCGGCATGACTTATTTACATCAAGAAATAATGCTATCCCGACACAACTCTAAGGTTTGAACCCGAGCCTAAATGTGAATCTTCAAGACTCGTCATAACCCAAAAATTTTCTCATTTATTTTATTTTATTTTATTTATTTATTTATTTTGTATCTTATCAAGTTTGTTATTTCTTATTTTTCCAAAAAAACCAAAAAAGAAAAATGTATTTAGAAATATAATAAAATACAAAAAAAAAAGGGTGGAAAACACAAAATGTTCATCAAGGGACCCAATCGAGAAAAATTGTTATTTGCATGACTAAAATTTCGCAAAAAAGAGCATGATTGCGAGAGAATTGACACTCGCGGGGACCAAAGTAGAAGGTTGGAGCGAATGACGGGATTGAATGTAAGTGAACGACTCGTCATTCGCTTCAACCCAAAGTTCTTCCTCAAACCATTCGAAAATCAGTCCGAATCCTCGGCTAATTGGTTTTTTTTTGAAGTCGATCTATCCCGGTTGTTTAGCTAACCAAATTCACGGATTAATAACATGAGTTTGAGTTCTAATTGGATAGTTAAATTTTTTTTTTCTATTTTTAAGGTAATTGAGTTGGAGTAAAATTTGAATTAACAATGCCTATAAAAGAGGTAAGAATTCGGAGGAAAAAGAAGGAATTTTAGGGTTGAGAGAGAGTGAAAAATAGAATCAAAAGGCTTGATTTTTTCGATTTTTAAGCGACTCGCATTTTTCTAGGTTTTGGTTTCTTGGTGTTCTTGGGGTCCCGGGTTTTCCTTCATATCTATTTGTCCTCACTACACCAAAAAAGAGCATTGCAAGCGATTTTTTTATCCTCTAGAGCGGTTATAACCACCTCTACAGATTATAGAGGCGGTTTTAAGGACCGCCTCAAAACCGCATGCAATGTCGTCGTCTCTAGGATGTAGAGGCTATTTTGCCAACCGTTAGGGAATTCGAGGCAGTTTCTTACCATGGTTACAACTACCTCAAAATATTTATAGAGGCGGCTACAACCGCCACTACAATGTCTCTTTTAGTGCTATTTTTGGTGTAATTTGAGGAGGTTCGAAACCACCTCTACAATCTTGTCACTTTTGAAATGTTGGGGCGGTTATAGTTTAAAAATATAGAGATAGTTTAGACCGTCCAAAACTATAGATTTCAAAAACAAATAAATTACTTCATTTAGAATTTACGAGAGGCCTTCAAATTCAATTAATCACTTCATTGTTTTGTTCAAAAAACAAATAAACTATTAAAAAAGTTACAACATGTTGATCGTCAATAAAAGAAAAATTATATAGCTTATAAAATATTCTTAAATTTGTAATTATCAAATTCTAAATACATAAAAAGTCTTTAAACATCCACAAGAAGAAAAAAACTAAAGGATTAAATACTTATTCGAAATACATAAAAAGCATTCGAAAATAAAAGTGGTTTATGCATGGAAGGTCCCCGCATGGAAGAAGAATTGTTAGCATCTCAATATGCTACTTTATGCATTGACATTATTAGAACTACTCCGGGCTTGATTAGGAAGGATAGAGTTCCCAAAATCTCCATCCAAGCTCATCCGTTGGACTTCGAGGAGACGAGGATCTTGATGCGGCGGACACGAGTTCACAAACTCTCTAAACACCCAAACAAAAGAATGTAAGAACAAACTATAAATAGTACTTGTAGCTTCAAGATATTTCGGAATACAAGTGACGAATTCAAGATATTTGGACATTTCTTATACTTAGATGCATGAAAAGTTAGTCCTAAAGTGATTCATGCGAGTATCGGATTATATTTTCATTCAAGGAGTTAAATGAAACCTTTAAAGATACAAAATCACTTCACGAGACAAGACCAAGCCAAAGCTAGAAGGCAAAAAAGAGACTGGATGAATTGAAAATAAAAAATTCTTGAAATCCTTAATTAGGTTCGGTATTTGGACAAAGGATACTGGAAGAGTATGATATGAGAAGAAACACTTCAAGAAACATGTTAAGGTCTTTCCGTGAGAAAGCAAGAACCGATCTTTTGAGGTGATGTCATAAGAGGTTTTGCATGTAGTATAATCTAACTAACATGTCCTCCGTGGGAAGTACTATTAGAATAATTTAATACTTGGCTAGCTCTAATATTGCCATTGAGGGCATAAAGCATACTAAGAAAAATACCGTGACATATCATAGAAATTAGAAAGAGTTAAAGAGGGTTTACTCCCAAGGTCATCCTTTACTAGTAGGATATCATTCTCGTGATCCATGTAAACAAGTTTCTAGCCCATCCTTTGTTGATCTTCCAACCGTCCCTCTATACCAAACCTATAAGCCAAGTATAATGCAACTAACATAGAATTGGTGAAGTGAATGTATAGAGAGGGTGTCTTGGTATGCTTGTCATCTCACACCTAGAGAGACCTTGGATTCATGAGAATTGCTAGAGAGTCGTTGATCAAGTAGTTTGTGAACATGGCTGGATTGATATTCTAGTGAATAATGCAGCTTTGCTGCTTGTAGATAAAGTAATAAGAGTAAATGTTGTTGCCCTAGGTCAAGTCTAGATGCCATTGTAGCTCGCATCTATGCCCATTGAAAAGGTCAAAAGCTTAGCCTCGTGAGATTGCACCTTCTTATATCTTCTTGGTATACCATCACCGTTCTTCCTATTTCACTTGCTTGTAGATAAAGTAAACCATCGACTTCTATCTCTTACCTTATCTTTCTTCAATTTGTAATCATGTCTCTTCATCAATAGTACAAAGACCAAAATGTTAACTTAAACCAACTTTATAACCGAAATGAAAAAAAACCCAAAAAGCCCATGACAAATGGCTATGAAAGTTATAGAAATAACAAAAAATGCCACCCAATATAAATATTTATTTTATTTTATTTTATTTTTATGTCTATATAAATAATATATAAGTGAAATTCATCGTTACTTTTGCCCAACACTTTTAATGTGTTACAAATAATAATAATTACAATATCTAGGCATAAAGGTAAGGTGGCAAGCGGGGTGAGAGAAGAACTTCAAGTGGGGTGGCTTTGAGGCTTGTTAGTCCGAGCTCTCGGTCATATCAAGCTGGTGCATTTTTAGGAGTAGAAATTTGAAATCTTTGCGGAAAAGTAGCCATTGTTAGATGCACCATGTGGAGGCCAAGAGAAATTCCAGGGCATGCCCTTCGCCACATCCAAATGGGATTAATTCAAAATTTTGACCCCTAACATCCACATCCTTATGGGTGGTAAGAAACCTCTCGGCTTGAATTCCAACGGATTTGGCCATATACGAGAATCCCTTTGAATTTTCCAATTGTTCACTAAAAGCCGAGTGCCTTTTGGGACATGGTAGCCACCGATAGTGCGATCCTCGGAGAATTGACGGGGTGCTTAAGAGTGGTGCTGATGGATATAACCGTAATGTCTCTTTAATCGTGGCTCGGAGATAGACTAGGTTGCTAATATCCGCATCATTCACTAGTCTTTCCACACCTACACATTTGTCTAATTCTTCCCGGACTTTTACCGATACTCGCTCGTTGTTTAGCGATAGAGAAAAAGCCCATGTCAAAGTAACCGTGGTGTTGTCGCTAGCCCACGCAATCATAGCTCGTCAAATGAAATTCATGTTAGATTAATTAATGAATGGGAGACAAAACATTTTTTTTATGAAAGTGCAAGTACATTCTTCGTTACTAGCAATTTAAACGTATGATGCTTCATTGTTCTTTGGAAGAGTAATTTTCAGCCTTGTATTTCTAGGACTTTAACATCTCTTTTATATATATATGTACAAGTATAGTTTGACTAGAATTCTAGGTAATATAATGGATAAGAACTAAAAAGTACAAGTAATTAGCAAACTATCGCAGACAAAGTTCTTGTAACTAACAAACTCTGCGACGGCGTGTATCTACGAAATAGTTGCATTCTAATAAACTACTTCCCTACAATCGACTTTATCTCTTCCATGTGTGGTGTGGCTAGATCTTGTGTTAATACTCTTCCACAAGCTGACTGTGGATGGGTTACAACGAGTGAGTTTAGCCCTTAAGAATTCAAAACGGGCAATGGATAGAGGTTTGTTTAACATATCCGCAATTTGATCCCGTGTGGAAATGAACTTTACTTGCAAGCTACCCTTTGCAACCATGTCTCTAACGAAGTAAAAATCAATTTTTACATGTTTAGTTCTTGCAAAGAACACTCGGGTTTATTGCTAAATGAGTGGCTCCAATATTATCACACCAAATAATCGGGTTGTGAGCTAGTGTCTTGTCAAGTTCACCTAGTAAAGACATGACCCAAGTGATTTCGACTGCAAGATTTGTGACGACTTTGTACTTGGCTTTGGGCGATTGTCTTCTGCTTGGAGGATTTCCAAGTGATTAAATTCGACCCTAAGTATACGACATAACCCTCTATATATTTTCTATCTTCTAAAGAACCTACCCAATCCGAACCAAAGAAACTCGTCAATAGTTGAGAGTTGGATTTTCGAATGTGCAAACTATAAGTATATGTGTATTTTAGGTATTGCAAAATGCATTTTACATCCACCCAATGTTTTGAAATAGGTTGGTGCATGAATTGACATGCATTATTCATAACATATGCAATGTCCGGTCTAGTCGAGTAGCATAGTGGAGGGCACCCGCAACTTGTCTAAACAAAGTCTAATCTAAGGAAGAGTTGGCATCTTCATTTTTCAGTTTTGAAGTGGTGGGCATAGGTGTGGTGATGAGGTTGTAATTACGGATTAGTGGGATAATAGTTTGTCCGTGTGGGTGTTTGGTGTTTGGGAGTTGGGCGTGGGGGTTTTGGTAGGTGGGTTTTGAAGTGGTTGACCTTCAGAATAACGGAGTGATGTCGATCGGGTTGGGGTGATGGAGATGGCCGAAGTGGAACATTGAGCCACGTGAGGGAAACACTTGGATGGACTTGTGTTTGTGATAGGCAAATAACTTTGTACAAAAGGAATTATTGACTTAACAAACCGGACATGACGAGCAATGTAAAAACGATTTTTTTTTTGTCAAAACAACGATAACCCATATGTATTGGTTGCATCCCAACAAAAAGCTAGGTGCGGATCTAAAGTCAATTTTATGTTGTTATAAGGCCTTAAAGATGAAAAAATAGAGACAATCAAAATTTTTTGGAAAGGAGTAATCTAGGCTTTTCTTAAACACGAGTTTAAAAAGGGATGTATATTTGGTGATAGGAGAGGGCATTATGTTAATTAGGAAAAAAATGATGTCAAAGGCATATGTACAATATTGTTTAGGAACATGGGCCTCTACTAAGAGGGTCAAGCCAATTTCCACAATATGATTATGTCGTCTCTCTATGGTATCATTTTGCTCATGTGTATGGAGGCACATGATAAGGTGGCAATTCCTACATTTTCAAAGAATTTATTTAGTCCTCGAAATTCCCCACCCTAATCGGTTTGGACTTATTTGATTTTGCAATTAGACTAACATTCAACCAAATTTTGGTATTGAATGAAAACATTGTAAATATCTATTTTTTGTGCAAGGGGTAAAACCATATATACTTAGAGAAATAATAAAAAAAGATAACATAGTATTTAAAGCCATTAATAGAAGTAGTAGGGGAGGGACCCCACACATCATTGAAAATTAAATTCAAAATACTCGTACTTGGATTATTTGATAGAGGCAAAGATATACGATTAGATTTTCCTAATGGACATGAAAAGCATTAACTCAATTAATTTAAAGGTTTAGATAAAGAGTGCTTTTGTAAAAGAAAATGGAGTACTCGATGGTGAGGGTGGCCTATTCGGAGTGCCAAAGTGGTCTAGAGACTTTTGCTAAGAATGTGTTAGGACTCGGAGGTGGGAGATGAAGCATAAAGGGAATATAGGTCGGCATCACTTTTGCACTGAAAGAAGTTTGGTCTTGTGTACACGGTCTTTAGCACAAAACATGAATGGGTGAAATTCCCAAAATAAGTCATTATCTTTGGCAAGGCGTTTCACAAATAATAAGAGTCGGGTTATTTGTGGAAGATGTAATACATCAAACAATTTAAGAGATTTAGCAGGAGTTTTAATATGACTTAGACCAATGTGCAAAATAAGTAAAAAACTCACCATTTCCAACTTGGAGTTGATCCTTACCCATGTATGGTTCATACGTGCTTAAGGCTGGCCAAGTCGGGAGTCACATGATGTGAAGCACTGGTAATGGGACACCATGTATGTGAGCACGACTATGGGGTGGAGGAAGCCGAGATATTTGCGATGGGTCATTCTTGGTCGAAGTGGTGCTTGTGGACGAGTGGATAGTCGTATGGCTCCGAGTGTGGAAAATTTGACATTTGGATTGGCTATCTTGGTTGTTCAAGTAGCTACGATTTTCAAGGTGAAAAGAGGGGTTTCCATACTCGTGGTTAGAGCGGCCATGTTCCCTTCCTCTCGATTGTCTACCACGGTTTACGTTAAGGTTACTAAAACAATCTCCTTGGGGCTGATAACTCGAGCCCTTAGCTACCATGTGAGCGAGCGGGAGGTGTGGGTAGTAGAGGAGCGATAGGTGTGGGCGGTAGTCCATGCCGTGGTGGAGATGCTGAATCTGAATCAAGGTTGTGAAATTTATGGCTAACCAAGAAGCTAAGGAGGTAAGTGAATGTTACTTGGTTCGGGACGTATGGAGAGAGCGGTGATAATGTCCTTGAAGTCACTAGAGAGGATCTTGAAGATATAGAGATTGAAGTCAATCGAGTGGAAGAGGACGACCAACTATGATTAGTTCATCATTAATTGATTTGGCACGAGGAAGGAAGGTAGAGACTGGTTCATGGTGGTCTTATTTGAGCCATTACAAGGCTAGATGTAGGCTCATTATCCGAGTACTAGATAGAGAAGCAAGGCCTCTTTCAAGTGTGAACCAAACCTTATTAGATGTGGTGCAGTCAATTACCATAGAGAGCACTTCTGTTGAGAGGGAGGAGATGAGCGTGCTCATTAGAAGCTGGTCCTGCTGGATCCATGCTTCATAGGCAGGGTTTTGTTGTGGAAGGCTGGAATGTGGCTTGGAGGGCAAGGGAAAGATCCATCATCAACAAACCAGAACCAGTCTTGGCCAAGGAGAAAGGGCTTGAGTTGAATACGCCATAGTAGATAATATGTTTGGGTTAGTTTTAAGGAGATGAAGTGGTGGGAGTTTTTTAGATGACTATTGGAGTGGTGGGTTGAGTGATGGCTGGAACGGTTTTAGCAGTGGTGGTGGGAGAGGTGTTGTTGCTAGAGGAAGTCATTTTGTGGGGCTGGGAGGTGCTCAACAGTAGCTAAGAAGCAGTAGTGTCTGGAGTATTTTGGGAAGGAGTAGGCAGTAGCGATTGGACAGTTTTTGGGAGGGAAGAAACAGTAACAGACTACCACGGCAGCAGTAGGTCTGGAATATTTTTGGAAGGGAGGAGCAGTAGCTAGGCTAGAGTCGGCTGAGGAAGAAAAGAGCGGCAGTTAGCCATGGATGCTCTGATACCAAATTTAAACGTATGATGCTACTGTTGGAAGAGTAATTTTTCAGCCTTGTATCTAGGCGTTTATATAGGTAATACAATGGATAAGAACTAGAGAGTACAAGTAATTAGCAAACTACTTCAGCAGAGTTCTTGTAACTAACAAACTCTGTAGTAATGTATCTCTGAAGTAGTTGCATTCTAACAAACTACTTCCCTGCAGCAGACTTTATCTCTTCCATGTGTGGTGTGGCCGGATCTTGTGTTAATACTATCAAGTAAAAGTTACAAAATTAAATAACTAAAGTTACATAATAAATAAATAACTCTATTATAAATTAAGATAGACAAAAAGTAATTAGGTATATGGGAAGTTGTATTCCCCTATCTCACAAAAATACAGACTGCACCACGGAAATAATTCATGGTTCCTTGAGTTTAATTTTGGTATCGTGAAGAATTCTTCTTGTGTTAAAATTTTAATGTTTCAGAAGCCTGATAGGATTTTTGGAGAGGCTCATGCTTACAAATTAATCATTCAGTAATCTCAAAAACAGATGAGGGAATTAAACTTACTAAGGATGTGGCTTTGTTTACTGTATCGGCATCATAACCTGCAAGATCAGCGCCTTGAAGGACCGAAAGCATAACGTCCATGAAATCTTGCTCTGCTTGATCAGCCTCGCCTAAAAGCCGTTTTCGCTTATGCTCTTCCAACCATTCCTCTAGAATACTGTCCATTTCTTTTGCAGTTCTCTTCATGGCTTTCTCATGCCCACCTATATCAAGCCACCCAAGAAAAGGTAGAGCGTCCCTCACTACAAAAATCCCTAAATACCTGAAAAATTTCCTCACAGCCTTCTGCCATTGCTGTGCTTTTATTTTATCATTATCACCAACAGCACTACCATAATACCTCTTCCCTGCAACCGTCCTAAGAATCGCATTTAGAGTTAAGCCCACAAACCATTGCTTCAAATCAACAACAACTTCGCCTGAGCCATTCTTTTTTCATCCCAATGCGTGTATAGCTCTTTTAAAGATGTTTCCACTTCATGAATCCTGACACCCTTCAGTTGATTAAGCCTGCGATTTGATAGTAATTCTGAAGTGGCTATTTTGCGTGTTTCACGCCAGTATGAACCTTGTGGAGCAAAAGCAAACATAGCGAAGTTGTAGCTCAAGTATTTTGCAGCTGTTATCGGTGGCCGAGAGGTCACAGCCTGGTCATTGATGGTGAACAATTCCTTGGCCAATTCCCAACTGCTAACTACCAAAGTTGGATTCACCCCAAGCCTTACGGTAAAGATTGGACCATACCTGTTAGCTGTGTCTCCTAATGTTTTGTGGAGAAGCTGAGAACTAGCTAAGAGTTGATGGTGGCCCAATAGAGGCCATCCACCTGCTGGTTCAGGTGCCCTTTTGCTCTTGGCAGCTCTCCACTTGTTGGTCATATAGTAGCAATAGATAAGTAGGAGGACCAAGACACCTGTTACGGCTGTCTTAATGTATGGAATTGTGCCAGAATCCATCCCTAACTAATGATTGATCAGGAAGAGATATCTTTGATTAACTGAGGGAATTGCTTATCAACTTTTGCATGTGTGAGGAGTTTGGAAAGAAAGTTTTGACGTTCTTTTTTTATTTGTGCCAATCTCATGTAATTCGATCTCCAGATAAGTTATGCCATAATAATTGGTGTGAATGTGACCAATCATACATAGCAGCTGTAATTGGTGTACAAAGTATGTAGGACAAATTCCTTATAGAAACTAATCCTGCTCTGTTGCGTTCAATTATGGTGAACGGTAGTTTTCACGGGGTATCTTTTCTTGATTTCCTTACGAATACGATTTTGTTGCTTTTATTAAGGTTATTAATTATTTAATTATGTCCAAATTCATTATTACAATAAATAAATAAAATGAAGAGATTACGGATCTTCGGTAGCTCTTCCATCTACATCAGGCTACTTAAAAACTAATCACAAAAAGGACCACAAACTTATTTTGTCCTAAACCCCCTTCTATTGTCTTCGAGTCCACGTGTCATCTTTCTATTGACAAAAAGAGAAGGAATACTGAACGACTCTTTCACCCTGGTACAGGGGCCAAGCGAACAAGACAAGACAGAACAAAACAAAACTACCAATCAAATGTTGATATGGATAACTGCACTAGAAGTACATTAATTTTATAACTTTTTTCAATTAGGTACATGAACTTTTAATTATTTCATTCAAGAATATTAATTTTTTCCAAACATTATATCAATCACTTTCGTCCACGTGGTCAGACGATAATGTGTCCTTTGACTTTGATAATTTGTTAATACACAAACTTTCACTATATCTCAATCAGTATATGAATTTTAATCCTTATCATTTTGATACATTAATTTTTTTTCTTTGTTAATCAAGTACATATCTGTTTTTTCATCTGTTTTTTTTTTTTCTCTGTCTCTCTCTCTGTACCGCTAGTTTGTTTTAATCATAGGTAAATAATATAATACAAAACTAGATACCGGAATTCTTTTATGTATAATGTTAAGTAATAAACGATCATGTGGAAAAAACTAGAACGGAAAACAAAAGGAAAGGAAGTAAGTGTAACTTCAATATGAGAAGTGAAATTACCAAGCACATTTTTCATTATATATCCCATGTGTCCAAGAAGATGGTAGATCATTGCTCTTTGGGCTCAAGTTATAATCTCCCCACAGTAGTTTGTGAACCATGATTTTCCTTTATGATTAAAATGACATCGTTTAATATGCCTTAGGAATAAAACAACATCGCTATTTAGAAATTTGAAGCATTTTGTTTAGAAGGCAAAGGAAGGAGAGAGAAAGCATCGAATAGTTGTGATCGGAACATCTAGTGATTTGAAGTCTATGTATTTCTTAAAAAATAATATAAATAATATCTTAAACCTCACTTAAAAATTTATAATGGATAGTCTTATGACATAGTATCGAACTTTAATGACCAAACGATTATGAGTTTAAATCCTACTAAAATACTGTCATTTGAAAGGTGTGTTAAAGAATAATATAAATCATATCTTGGTGCCTCATATAAAAGTTTAAGCTTCTTCTTCTTCTTCTTCTTTTTCTTTTTTTTTTTTTTTTTTTTTTTTTAGTATTAACCCTTACGATGTGAGCTCATTGATGATGATTCTATCACCCCGAATTGGGTTGTTGAATTTAATTTAATTTATTATTTTTTTTAATAGTCTCATATGTTTTTGTATAACATACTTGATTTTCAATCTGTCTCTATATTCTAAAATAAACTAATTATGTCTTTGTAATTTAAGCAAGTTGTCAATCAATCTTTTAAGTTAATTTTTCCAATCAAATCACCTAAAAATATCACATGACATATAACGTAAACACATCAAATAATTTTTCACTTGATCTTATAATTTTTCTAATTAGATTTATAATTAGATTTGATATATATATAAAAGAATACTGAGGTTTGTTAATCAATGGTTATGGACTCATTGACTAGAATTAGACACCATTTCAATATAAATTGCTCAAACACCCTTTGGATATCCATTATTAGCTTTCTTAATCTGTCGACTTCTCTAATTTGATTTTAAGTGATATAAACAATTAATTCCATATTTTCTTTTATGATTTATTAAAATCAAACATTTTTATGAAATATATGTAAACTCAAAAATAAAAACACAAATGATATTAAATGTTACAATATACAAATGAAATAAAAAAAATTATTAATAAAATTTTGATTTCGTTTGCGTAAATGTTCAGATCTAATTACAGTATTAAAATAAATTTTATAAGGCTACCTGTGCCAGAGCACGGAACACAGATTTCATTGGGGTGGTAGAATTGTGGAAGTATCCCACCACAATAAAGTAAGAATAGAAAGGTGTATCCACTGAAATCCAAGCATATCCAGATTACTGAAACAAGTAGTACAAAATTTCCAAACCAAAATCACTTATCAATACGGCAATTGGCACAACCAAAGTGCATAATTTCACATCTAATACAAGATTTTGGGCTTTATTATAGAAGTAAGACAGATTTATATGTTCTGAATATCTATTCATAAACAGAAGCAGGCAAGCGAGGCTTGATTAGAACCTCAAGGGGAGTAGCCTTGCTGCTTGTTAGCCCAGCAGTTGCAGTCATATCAATTGTTGCATTTGATAGAGGCGAGACTTCAAAAGCTTGGAGGAAACTTGCCAGCACTAAATGACTCATTTGGAGTCCAAAATTCATCCCAGGACAAGCTCTTCTACCGGCACCAAATGGGAGGAGCTCAAAATGTTGGCCCTTGACATCAACATCCTTGTGAGACCCAAGAAACCTCTCTGGTTTGAACTCTGTTGGGTTGGACCAAACTCGTGGATCCCTTTGAAGCTTATAAATGTTCAATAGTAATCGGGTTCCCGCAGGGACATAGTAACCACCTATAGTGCAGTCTGCAGTGAATTCCCGGGCTCCTGAGAGTGGACCTGCTGGGTACAACCTAAGTGCTTCTTTGACACAAGCTCGGACATAAGCTAGCTTCTCGATGTCTGATTCGTTCACTAGTCTTTCCTTTCCAACATGAACATCTAGTTCTTCTTGAGCCTTCTTCAATGCAATGGTATTGTTCAACAATAAAGAGAGTGCCCAAATTACAGTCACAGTTGTAGTATCAGTGCCCCCTACAATGAGAGACTGCAATTTACATGATCTCCAGTAATCAGATATATATATATGAACTCATAAAAGCATAAAACATAAGTGCTCAACGAGGGAATTGAACCATCAGTTACCCAAATACAAAGGAAAAATTCACTAAATCAAAGGAAAGACATTAGTTGTACCAGAGATGTGGCTTTGCGAACGGTATCAGCATCATAACCAGCCAAGTTGATGCCATCAAGAGCATATAGCAGCACGTCCATGAAGTCTTCCTCTTTGTTAGCGGATTCACCTGCAGAATCTTTCTTCCTGCGATGCTCCTCTAACCACTGGTCAACAATACTGTCCAATTCCTCAGCATTTTTCTTCATGGCCTTCTCATGTCCACCCCAATCCAACCACCCAAGAAATGGAGCTGCGTCCCTTAACACAAACAACCCAGTCAAGTGAAAGAACTCCCTCATCGCTCTCTGGCATCGTCGGGCCTCATTTTCGTCAGTCACAACACCAGCGCCGTAGTATCGTTTTCCTGCAATCATCCTAAGTATCACGTTTAAATTTATGTCACCAACCCACTGCTTCAATTCAACCATAACTTGGGTTGCTTCATTTTTATCCTTCGAGTACCATAACTTGTATAGATCTTTAACAGAAACCTCAACCTCAGAGGTTCTAACATGTTTTAGTTGCTCAAGTCTGCGGTTGGAGAGTAGCTCTGACGCTGTTATTTTACGCATTCCCCGCCAGAATTCACCATATGGAGAGAACCCAAAATTCGCAAAGTTGTATCCCAAAATTTTTGCACCAGTGAGTTTGGGGCGAGAAGATACAATTGCATCGTTCGTGGTGAATAGTTCCTTAGCCAACTCCCAGCTACTAACCACCAAAGCTGGGTACATCCCTATCCTAATGGTAAAAATAGGTCCATATTTGTTAGCTAAGGCTCCTAATCTTATGTGGGGAAGCTCAGCTCCAGCTAACAAGGGAAGGTGACCTATGATAGGCCAAGCACCGCCAGCTTGTGGTGCTAATTTGGTCTTGGAAGATTTAGACCTCTTTAGCAGATAGCACGAAAAGAGTACTATAGCAGCTAGTATGACAGTGTGTAGGTATGGGAGAAGGATATCCATCGTGGTTTAATTAATCAATCTATGGATGGTGGAATATTTCTTGCGATAAATAAACACACACTTCTCTTCTGACTTCAACAAAGTAGCAAGGACACCATGCGTTTTTTTTCCCCCAAGCTACCTGTCATTTGTATCTCCTTTCTTTTCACCCTCTGCTGATGACGAAACTTCCCCATTGCTAAAGAAACAAGATCAAAATTCAGTTGTTGGATAAGGATGAAAGAAGAGACAAGTACTTAAGCATATAATAATATCTCACAAAGATTAGTACTTAATTGGACTAGTTATGCAATTGATAAGAGGTGACCACTGTAACAAAAAATAGAATTTGGCGATAGGATATTAGTGACGGTTTCTAAAGGGTCGCTAACAAACAAAATATAGCGACGATTTCAAAAAAATGCTGCTATCAAAACGTTTTAAAAGGGTTAGCAACAGTTTTTTGAAAACCATCACTATATGATTTTTTTTTCCCAAAATTAATGATGTTTTTGCATGAGTTACTAATTTTATTTATTTTATTTTTATTAATTTAAAAGCAAATAACGATTGTTTTTCGTGATGGTTTTTCGAAAACCGTCACTAATTGACAACTTTATTTTCCAAAATAAGCGATGGTTTTCGAAACTGTCACAAATTTTAATTTTTTTTATTAACTCGGAAGCAAATAGCGACGGTTTTTTAGAAAAACACTATCGCTAATATCGCAAAATTATGTAACATTTTATAGATTTAAATTTTTATCTATGAGCAAATTATTTAAAACTGCGGTTTCTCCAGTCTCCTAAAAAATTATGGAACATTTCATAGATTTCAATTTTTATATGTGAGAAAAGGAAGTGCAAAATGTAATTGCCTTTCAAATTTTAGAGGTAAATTGCAGATTCTAAATTTGTGTACCCACGTGTGTCTTTTGTTGTTAGCAACGTATGTCATTTTTCCATTTCTTGTATGCTAGGATCAGCACTCGGATAAACGAGAAAATTATGATTTTAACTAAAAAAAAAAATTAAATCATTTTGAATAGCAACAAAACCTTTTTTGTGTGGTAATTCACTACAATTAGTGGCGAAAAGCTAGCCGCAGTAGTACATAAAGCTTGCATTTTGTGAAATCTTTTTAGTATTATGCATAATATTGTTTTGTGAAGGGAATATAACTATGGTGAAAAGATTAGAAAGTAAATTGAAGTACAGATTGGCTTTACACAGAGTAACAAAAGCATGATATACAATCTTTATTTAGTTAAAACAAAACCAAACCGTTTTGACATGTCTTACTGCTCCCTCTATCTTAACTAAAATTGTTTTATTTATTTATTTATATCTGTCATAAACTATTTATAGGGTGAAAACTTTAAATAATTTATTTTTTAAAAAATAATTTTAATTGATAAAAAAATCAATTTTTTCCTTCCATTTTCTATTCTTCACTAAAAAAAAAACAATACTCTTTATATTTTTTTCTTATACAAACAAATATCTTTAATATAAAAATTTTAAAGGAAATTTTTTGTTATATGAAAATTATTTATTCTTGTAAAGACTTTGCTACATGTCACAATTTTAAGAATAAAATATTTTTATTAGTATGTTAGTTTTTCTTAATTATTTTAAACTTAATCAGTAATTAATTTAATGATTTTTTTTATTTTTCATCTTACTTTTGGATGGATTTTTTTAAAAACTATTATTGGTTTTATATATTGCATCATGAAATTTGATAACTAACAATTTGAACAAAAATAATATTTTTAAAATGTATGAAAAACATATATTGATATTACATTATAATTAATAATTTTTTAAAACTATTTAAAAAGTCAAACAAGACGATTTCTTTCGAATAAAATGATTATTTAACTTAACTTACTGGCGTCCATATTTTTCAGCCAATCATGAATCATCATCATCATCACACATAAAGCTTGGAAGGCAGACACAGTGCAACCAGAACTTCAAGTGGGGTGGCTTTCATGCTTGGGGCACATAGATCGAAAAACTATTTTTAAATTCAATTTCAATATTGGAAGACAATAAGGATCGAAAGAGACAGGAATTATTTTATAAAGTGTCGCTGCACGATGTCGGATGGGACTCTCCAAAGAAATGAAAGTCCGAGCGTTAATTATTTACAAAATTATTTACGAGTTTTGGAGTCGTCACCTAGTATTTAAGGAATTAGGAACCTAAAAGTAATACTTGGTTCGGAGATTCCTAAGGTAAGGAGTTGATTACGTTTTTAGAAAGATATTTAATCACCTAAAAATGCCCTTTTCAAAAAAAGATACCATTTATGGTTTAGTTCTAAATTCATCTCCTAAAAATCCATGTCAAGCTATTTTCTAATTTTTAAACTCCTATTTTGTTTTTAGACTAAGTGAATTTTTTTAGTTTTGGGCGTGGCATCATATTGAAACGATCGTCGGTCCCTTTCGTCTAGTGACACGTCGATTCAAACATCGGCTCCACTAAAAGCCTTGACACAACCGGCATGTCGAGAGGAGGTTTTAATTAAAAATTGATTTTTGGTGGTGTCAGCCCTATCAAATAGGAGACTTCGTTGAAATTTTTGAATTTGATGACGTCGGTCTCTATTAGATAGGAGATTTCGTCGAATTTATTTATTCATTATTACTTTTTTTTTTAATGTCGGTCCCTACCGGGTAGGAGGCTTCGTAAAAAAATTTTAAGTATTTTTTTGGTGACATCGGTCCCTATAAAATAGGAGACTTTGTCAAAGAATTTTATATTTTTTCTAACAATACATTTTAAAGAAAAGAAAGTAAAAAAAAAAAAATTGAAATAACAATTCTAAATTAACATAAAAAAACGATAAGGGATACAAATAAATAAGCTAAAAAAATAAAAATAAATAAAAACAAACGAGATAAATAATATCGTAAAAAAAAAAAAAGAATTCATCCTAGACCTAATCCATTAACCCATAAACTATTTTTTCTACCCATCCTTTTTCTTTTTTCTTTCTTTCTTTCTTTTTTAATCTTTTTATTTTTTCTTCCCTAATTCTATTTCTTTCTTTTCTTTATTACCCCTTTTCTTTTTCTTCTTTTCTTTTTTTTTCTTTTCTTTTTTTCTTTTTGGGAGAAGGTCGGAATGAAACCGGCCTTCGTTTTGATTTTTCTTAGGTTTTTTTGAAGGGTGGGCTACGAGTCTGGATCGATAAAAGTCCAACCCTTCCCCCCTTTGGTTTTTATTTTTTATTTTTGTGCGAACGGGCTGGATCGATTGTAGTCCCGCCCTCGATTCTCCCTTTTTTTTTTTTAATAACGAGACAATCGGTCCAACTCTTGATTCCGGCCTTTTGTTTTTAAATACCCACCCCGAAAACAACTCCCACGCTTCCTTTTTTCTTTTTTTCAAATCAAAACCCACGTTTCTCGGAATTCAACCCCTTCTCTCTCTTGTTAATCGGGTTCTTTAACTTCCTCCCTCTATTTTTCAGATTTTCCTAGAAAATTAAAGCCCCATTTTGGACAAGTAATTATTACACATGTTATTGCACTCTTGTTTCGATCACAAGCCCGAATTAAAACTTAAACAAGTAACTAACCAAAAATTTGGGAATGGCAAATCATTGAATCGAAAAAAAAAAAAAAAAAAGAATAGACCTTAGATTTGTGATTGATGTTCGAAAGGATGCAAATTGAACCTCGAAAAATGGTTTCAAGAGACTCAAAAAGGGACTCCTGTTGCTTTCGATATGCTCGAATGAGATTCAAGACAAAGGATCGGATCCAGCAATTGAAGCCGAATGAAACTCCACCCGGAAGATTGAAGAACATGAACCCAAGCGCATGAAGAAGTTTAAGTGACTACCTAGAATTTCAAAAGGGAAACCCAAAATTATGAAGAACGGGGTCCCTATTTCAGGAAATTGGATTGAGAAACACTTAAGGAGAGAAAATCGACCCTATAAAGAACACCAAAAAGGATTAAAGGAGGCCGACTGGTGATGAGCTAAACCCGAAACTCAAGAACGCCTCTTGGATGATGTCTAAAAAATAGTTTTATAGTACTTTCAAATATTATATAATTAGTAAAACAAAATCATTAATTGAGATGAACGGTAAGGAAAAAGAAAAGAAAAAACATTTCCTTCTTTTATTTTTTATATTAATTTTTATTTTTTTTGTGTTATTATTTTTATTTATTATTTATTGTTTGTTGATGAAAAATTATCATCAATCAGTTCCTAAAACTTAAGGAACTAAACAATTCATTCACTAGTTAATTACCTAACCTAATTAATAGAATAAATTTTAAAATTAATGTTAACTAAATAAATTCCAAGGCATCTAAGAAAAATTAAATATAAATTAATGCGAAAAATAAAAGGGCATAAATAAATAAAAACATTACATTCAATTTATTAAAAAAAATAAAATTAAAGCATTAAAAACCTAAGTGGGTCGTTGGCCCATTGGGCTAGACCTAATGGATTGGCCCTTATTCTATTATGCTTTTTATTTATTTATTTATTTATTTATTTGTGTCTAGGTTGGCTAAAACCAATGCAGCCTATCTTTTTTTTTTTTTTAGGTCTAGACTAGTTCCAGTTTATTTATTTTCTTTTGGGGCATGTTTAGGCTAGGCTAAGCCCTAGCCTTTCCTCTTTTTTGTGCACTAGATTGAGCCCATCTTTCCTTCTTTTTTCTTATCTTCTTCTTCCTCAATTAATCCTTTTTCGTATCTTATATTTTGGTGTAACACTACTATAACTCCCTCTCTTTCCCTTTGACATGACTACTCAGCTCACACTCCCCTAAAAAACATTCCCCATGCTCCATGCTAGAGCTTACATATGTTGGGTTTCCCTTCTAGTTGGAGAATAGTTTAAAGGTTTGTCCGTATGAGTCCAATCTTGGAGTCCATACGAAAGAGGATTTTTTAATGACTTGAAGAATAATTTAGGTATTCTAAAAAATCCTTCCTTTTTTTAATTCTAAGATTAAATAAGGGAAGAAAGTAGAGAAAAAA